TTTAAGTCTTTTGACGTAATTCATCCAAAATTGCAATGGGTCACCATCACATATCAGTCACCTAAAGAGCCAAGGTCTTGAAAAATGTCATCTTTCACAAATGCAGATGAGGATACTGTATATCTTCATTTTTCTGAGAACATTTCAACATTTTTACACACACACACACACACAATTCTTATACACAAAACCAACGCTGTGATAATGCACTTTTGTGCGATCAAATTTTCAAAAAATGCATAATGAGTTAGAACTCTCTAAAGTCTTCATAAAGCCTACATCTCCAGTATTGAAAATGATTTAAAGATGAAATACATAGCATAGAAAACTGTTAAAAAATACTGATAATTTAAAATAGTGGAAAATAAACAAAACAAAATAGGAAAAAGAAAAGAAGAAATAGACAAAAGGTTTTCATATGCCTGTTGGCTGTTTGTATGTCTTCTTTGGAAAAATGTCTATTGGTTCTTTGCCCATTTTTTAATCAGATCATTTTTTTGCAGTTGATTTGTTTCAGTTTTATATGTGTTTTAGATACTAGCATTTTGTCAGATATATGACTTGCAAATATTTTCTCCCAATATGTATGTTGCCTTTTCACTTTGTTGATTGTTTCTTTTGCTATGAAGATTTTCATTTTGATGCACTCCCCCTTGTTTATTTTTGCTTTTGTTACCTGTGCTTTTGGGTTTATTGCCAGGGAATTATTGCCCAGACCAATATGTTTTGTTTTAGTAGTCTTCTGTTTCCTTTTAGTAGTTTTACAGCTTCAGGTCTTGTTAGGTCTTTAAGCCATTTTGAGTCTATTTCTGTATATGCTGTGAGATAAGTTTCCAATTACTTTATTTTGCATGTGTATATTCTGTTTTCTCAGTACCATTTATTGAAGAGACTGTCCTTTCCTCATTATGTATTCTTGGTACCGATGTCAAAGATTAACTATAGATTCATGGATTTGTTCCTGGTTTTTTAAACTCTATTCCATTGGTCTTTATGTCTGTTTTTTAATGCCAGTACCATATTGTTTTCATTACTATAACTTTCCAATATTTTGAAGTCAGGATATGTGATGTCTCCAGCTTTGTTTGTCTTGAACAGATTGTTTTGGCTATTCAAGGTCTTTGTAGCTCCACATAAATTTTAGAATTTTTTTCGGTAAAGAATGCCTTTGGGATTTGATAGAAATGAAACTGAATTTGTAGATCACTTTAGATAATATGAACATTTTGACAATACTAATTTTTCCAATCTATAGGATAGTATATCTTCTTTGTCTTTTTTCTATATCTTTTTTCTGTCTTTTATAATTTCCTTTATCAGTATTTTATAATTTTCAGTGTACAGATCTTTTACCTCTTTGGTTGTTTACTCTATAGTATTTTGTTCTTCTTGTTGCTGTTGGGAATAAGATATTTTCTTTCTTTTTTGGTGGTAGTTTACTGTTTTGTATTAGAAATGCTACTAATTTTTGTATGCTTATTTTTTTATCCTGAAACTTTACTGCTCATTTATTGGTTCTAACAATTTTCTTGTGGATTTTCTAGAAGTATCTATGTATAGAATTATATCATCTGCAAGAAGAGATAGTTTTCTTCCTTTCCAGTTTGGATGCCTGTTATTTATTTTTTCTTACTTAATTACTCTGGTTAGGACTATGGTAGGTACGGTAGTCCTGTGTTGAAAATAACTGGTGAGAAAAATTGGCAACCTTGTTTTGTACTGGGTCTTAGAGATAAAGTTTTCAGTTTTTCCTGATTGATTATGACATTAGCTATGGATTTTTGTTCCATTGAAGTAAATTCTCTCTATATTTATTTTGCTGAGAATTTTAATCATGAATGGAGGTTGAACTTTGTCAAATGCTTTTTTCTGTCCATTAAGATTATCATGGGTATTGTTTTGTTGTTGTTGTTTTTGGTAATATGGTGTATCACACTGATACACCCTATATTCCAGAAATAAATTCTTTATTCCAGAAATAAATCCCACTTGGTTGTGGTGTATGATTCGTTTATTGTGCCATTGAATTTGATCTGCTAGTATTTTATTTAGGATTTTTGCATTTATGTTAACCTGGAATATTGGCCTATGGTTTTTTTCTTGTGTGTCTTTGTGTAGTTTAGTTATCAGGTTAATACCGGCCTCATAAATGAGTTTGAAAGTGTACACTCTTTTATCTTTTGGAAGAGTTTTGGAGGGTAGATATTAATTCATCTCTGAATGTTTGATTAAATTCACCTATGAAACCACCTGGTCCTGGGTTTTTCTTTGTTAGGAGGTTTTTCATTACTGATCTAACCTCCTCATTTGTTATTAGTTTGTTTAGCCTTTTTACTGTATCTTGATTTAGTTTCAGTAAGTTGTATATTTCTAGGAATTTATCTATTCCAAGCAGGTTATCCAATTTATTGGTGCAAAATTGTTCATAATAATCTCTTATTATCCCTTTTTTCCTGAGGCATCTGCTATAATATTTCTTTCATTTCTGATTTTATTTGAGTTCTGTCTTTTCTCTTGGCTATTCTAGCTAGGAGTTTGCCAATTGTGTATATCTTTTAAAGAACACAACTCTTAGTTTTGCTGATTTAAAAAAATTATAAATTCTTTGATTCATTTTTACTCTAATCTTTATTCTTTTTTTTCTACTGCAAACTTTAGGATTATTCTTTTTCTAGTTCCTTAAGGTGTAAGGTTTGATTGTTTATTTGTGATCTTTCTTCATTGTATATAGGCATTTATTGCTATAAACTCGCCCTTAGTATTATTTTTGCTGCATCCCAGGAGTTTTGGTAAAGTGTGCATATAGGTTGGTTTATGTTTGTGAGCACTGAGAAATGTATGTAAAGATGCACACTAAATCATTAATTTTGGATCTTTCTGATGAGCAGAATTGGGAGCAGCAGTATTGGGAGAGAGTCTATGTCTTCATGTACCCCTGAGTGTTTGGCTTATTATAAACAGCATTGTTATATTTATATTTTTAAAAAACATAATTTCTAATGAGATTATTAAAAAAATAAATGAACGAAGGGACCATCTTTTCTAACTCCCATGATACTTTATAAAATGGGACGAGTAAATATATTTTGGACTCTTCATGCAGAATAGGTTCACAGAGATACAAAATATGTCATTCTGGATGACTATTGAGAGAAAGTTTTCAGCCAGCACTCACCATATCTGTTGAAGCAGATATCATCAGAAGCAACAGTGCATGGAAAACAAGAAGACAAGAATGGGGTTACTCATTTTTAAATGCCCAACTTTAATAGAGTTTATAAGTTCTAACACCTCAACTCTTTCTCTATTGTACTATAAGCTCCAAGAGAACAAGTTTGTTTGTCTATTTCATCATTGTATCTCCAGCAAAGACTTTGTGCCTAATACATTGGGACAGTTAATAAATGCTTCCTTGCTTAATGATGAATTAATAAATTTTAGGATGGCAGTTAAAGAATTGGTTATTTTAGGATGGCAGTTAAAGAATTGGTTATTTCATTCTTTACTCTTCTCTAGGATATCTATATTTAATTCCAGTTTACAGAGCACCTTTCCATTACCTTTGCTCAGCCTGTGATTATATGGCATTGTCATTTCTTTTTGGGTACATCTGTGTCTTCAATAGGACTGTGAGTTACTTAGGGCAAAATCTGATTTCTATTAATTTTTTTCTGTATCTCACAGAGCAACTAATTCAGTAAATTCTGAATATAGTAAGTTATTAAAAATGTGTTTTAGTTTTCCAGATCACTCCTTCCAGTAGCATGACTCCAACAATTATTTGTACTCCTACAAAAATAGAATTGATTGATTCTATTGTTCACTATTCTTTGACTATCACTTTTGATCTCATGCCCATCTTAAATTTTGTAGTACATTTCTATAATCACTCAACTAATTATTTCACACAAACCTTCAACTTATTTGCTTCACTTCTCTTTGAAATTCTTGTGTACTCTCATTACATTTATTCCCTGGGATCCTTTTAATTTGTAAGTCATTAAATACCATGCATGTGCTGATAACTCAAATATTGGTATATCTTGTGTGAATCTTTTCCCTGAAATTCAAACTCATATATTCTACTCTCCATCTCCACTTGAATGGTTATGGTCACTTCAAACATAACATGTTCAATATTAGACTTATTCTCTACCCTCACCCCAAATCTTCTCCTTTAACAATCTTTCCCATCTCAGTAAGTAATAATTCTATCCTCTGGTTACTAAGTAGAATTCTATCTTTTTCCTTTGCCTAACTTCTAATTCATTGGCCAGTTTGGTTGGAGCTTGTCAAAATATATCCATCAGCTAAGCCTTTTTCTTTCATTGTCATAATCCTGATGCAAGTCACCATTACCTCCCACCTAACAACATGTATGCTCCCCCTCTTGTTACATCCCATGTCTCCACACTTCATTTCTCAATATAGCATTGGAGTTATACTGTCAAAATTCAAGTTTTAAATCATACCATTCCTCTTCTCAAAACCCTGCAGTGGCTTCCTTTCTCACATAGTAATATGGCTACTTGCTACTTCTCTGACCTTACTTCATACTTATAGTCTTTTCTTCATTACTCATTCCACTCCAGCCATGTTTGAACTGATTCCACTTGCATGGAGGAAATAAAGGTTTAGCTTAAATTGAACCTGCATTGATTTATGTGAGGAAATAAATCAATCTTCAACATAATTGAAGCTGTGCTTGATTTTACCTGAAGAATGCATATACCAACAAGACTTCTGGTAACTATCTCAGAAACTTTTTCGTAGGAGTCACAAAGGTCTTTGACAATGAGAATTATGTTTCTCAATGTAAGAGTATGATAGGCTTTATATAGGAGGCCTGCACATACATTTTTTACTTTTTTTTTGTTTTGAAATGTTCTTATTAAAAAGTAAATTTTTTTTCTAGAAAATAATTACACATAGCTAATAAAAATTGATTACTTAAAATTTGTTACTGATAGCTATAATTATTGATTTTTTTGTTTAGGTCAACATTTTCAATCACAAAAGAATTCATTTTGAAATTCAATCAAGCACAAAATTCTAGAGAGGAGGAAGAGCTATTGAAATTAGCTAGAAAAAACATTCTCAGATGTAAGGTAATGGCATATCATTTAATTACTCAGTATGCTAAATTTCTTTTCTAGTTGGTACATGATTACATGCTCTAAAATATTGAAAGAAAAGATACAAATACATATTTAATTATCAGCACACAGTGAAAACATTAATGCAAATTAAAGTTAAAACTTATAACCAAATTATTCAATATTAAATAGCTTTTGGAGCTGGGCTCGGTGGCTCAGCCTGTAATCCCGTGCTTTGGGAGGCTGAGGTGAATGGTTTGCCTGAGCCCGCGGGTTCGAGACCCACCTGGGCAACTTGGTGAGACCTCATTTCTACAATAAATCAAAAACTTAGCCCAGTGTGGTAGCACGCGCCTGTAGTTCCAGCTACTTGAAAGGCTGAGGCGGAAGGATCGCCGGAGCCCAGCAGGTCGAGGCTGCGGTGGCCAGGAGTGGCCAATGCACTCTAGTCTCGGTGACAGAGTGAGACTCCAACTCAAAATAAATAAATAAATAAATAAATAAATAAATAAATAACTTTTTGGGTGAAATTCCCCTATAAATTTTGAGGATATGCAGCTTTTGATACCAGTCCAAGAGCCCACAGCAAATATCAATGCCTGACCAAAAAAATGTGGTTATGAAAATTATTTTTCTTAAAAAGAAAAAATAGAGTTAAAAAGAGTTAATTGGGATATGATGTGTCCCAAAGGGGAAAGAGAGCCTCTCTAAATTTTTACTACACATGCACAAAGGATGTTCTTTCTCTGTAACAAACTATTCCTCACCTAACTTGTGAAAATTGCATTCTTTAAGAGTATGAAATTAATTCCCAAATTTTCAAATAGATATTAAAACAGAATAGGAAGTGAAGTAAATCAAAGTTTGACAGAGAAATGACATATTTTTTTGTGTTGATACTGAGTATTTCATGAAATGAAAGCTGCACAAAACTGGGGCATAAATTAAGCCACCTTTTTTGCTGTGGTTGTTATTTCAGTTTATTGTTACCCATATATTTGACAATTTTGAAAAAAATCTATTTAAGACATTTGATTAGTAAAAGAATATACTTTTGATAAGTGTGTATGCAAGCAAGTGCCAGAAACTACATTCATCAATGAGTCTCTCCAAGTGGCCAAGTGCTTTCTTCAGCAACCCCAGGAGTGGACAGAGTAAGGGAAGTGGGACAATCCTGATCAGCTTCCTCATGTTCACTATCTTCAATTTATTAACATTAGCTGGGATTTTCCAGCAAAATGACATCAAACAGTTCTGTTTAACCACATTTTTTGAATGCTTTTCTTTATAGAATGATAAATGCATTCTCAGGGTTAATGAGATAGAAGTAATCACTAGAAAGTAAAGAATGAGGGTTATTTTCACCAAATAGCTAATGATATTATTCAGATTATCAACAAGCATTTTCTAGATTTTAACACCAATATAATTTGCATAAAATGTAAAGAAAATACAAGTAATACAGGCAAAAATGTAAAGTTGTATGCAACCCTGACCACAGAGCATTAGTTCCACAGAATGACTTTTAGAACATAATAAAGGAATAATTAAAATAAATACATAGAAAGCTGTACATTTTGATTTGCATTGTTCATGATTTCCCATAACAGAGAAAATTGGGCCTCAAAACCTTGGGCTCTGGACAGCATGTGCATCTTCCTACTGCATGGACCGAAGTAATATATCTAGCTCAATGCAAAGGAGAAATCCAAGAGGGTATGTGTTCTAAGGTCTTATTAAGTATGCTAAGTATTTTCTAAATTAGCAGTGAAAGCATAATTCAAGAACTTTAATTTTCAGAAATTGTTCAGGAGACAAGAAAAGTTTGCTGTTCTCTGTTGAATTAGCTTATAATATTTTATTAGAAAAGTTCTTTTTTATAATTTTGAATTTATGAATTTAACTACTTAACTTTTTAATTACAAAAATTGTTTTAAAAAATTTTTACTCAGCATAGTCTTTATTGCTTTTTGCTAAAATTAGTAACTCATTAAAAAGTAATATGAAATGTCATTTAGTGATTTCCAATTACAATAGGCACTATACTTTAGAGAAACTTGCTTCTGTGTTTTATAATTCTTACTCATAAAACATTAATCAAATGGTCATTTGTTTTTCATTTATTTTAAACTGCAAGCTTTACTCATTACCTTTTCATTTATAATTCCTCATTTATGACTCCTTTAAAACATCTTCTAACCAACCTACAGAAAATTTAAATTTTTTAAGGGGGTGAAATTCCTTCTATCAGTATCGAAAATGTTATGTGTGTGCCTTTTAAAATGAATTTTAGCATGTTAACCACATGAGGTCAGAGAGTATTTCCCCCTGTAAATTAGATTTTGTAGATTTTTGTAGTACTGTTGGGAGCTTCTAAGCAATAGGAAGAGTAAGAACTATTTAGTATTTAACTTGCCTTTATGATTCTTCATTGTGGTACCAAAAACAGCCTGACCTCTATTAAGTGCTTTAATAATATTTAGGTAAACACTCTTGGCTTACCAGCAACCAGCAGCTGCTTGTTCTTCATTGCCAATTGAATTTCAGTTTCCTTTAGATATCCTTCAGTCATGTGATTCAGAAGGGGTCTGGCTGTTGTCTAGCCTCAGCGATGAATCATGGGTGGTCTAAATCACTCAGAGCAATTCGCCTTCATTTGCCAGTGATTTGATTATGGATTCTTACATTACCTGGTACTGACCGAAGGAATGTAAAGATAGCTCTGTTTGGAATACTTTTTATGGCTTTCCTTTGAAAAAGACATACTTGAGAAGAAAGCATCCCTTCCCTCTCTACACTCCTCTGTTCCTCTCTTATTTGCTGGCTAAGAACACGATGCCAGGAGCTTGTACAGTCATCACAGTCATCATGTACATCAGGGGAACTAGAAGATGAAAAAAACATGCACACAGAGGACAACTATATTAGCTATCCCTAAAACCTTTCAAATTCTGGCCTTGTGAAATAATACCTTCTTATTTTGAAGACACCATTTGTGGAGTTTTCTGTTACATACAGCCAAAAGCATTGCAACTGAACTCCAAATGATACCTCAAATAGGACTTCTTACTATCTCCACAACTGAACTAACCTACCTGTACTCTTGCCCGCCCTTCATTCTATAGTCTACCCTCTAAAAATAATTTCTAGTAGTTTCTGATTACACTAAAAATGAACCCCAACTCCTTATCACGGCCTGCAATACTCTGCATAATGTGGTTCCTGACTTCCTCCTTATTTATTCATTAAATACCTCCTTCCGGTCCCTTGAACATGTCAGGGTTTTATTTTTTTTCTTAAGTTCCAGCATGTGCTGTTCTTCATCAGAATTTTACAAGTCAGCTCCTCAAAATCTTTATAATGACCCGAGGAGCTATTTTCTCTAGGCCCTTAGCGCTATATTCTTCTTCCTTCAGCTGCACAGGATGGCTTTATTTCCTCTGCTTTGATTCCTTAATCTTGTTTTTCTCTTGTATAGCCTGTGTCTTGTGCACTGCCTTTCATCATCCAGTTCTGTCCTAATTTCTTCACCATCATATATGTGGCCTGGCGATCTACTTTGTGTTGGCTGCAATAGCTGGACCTCCTTTCTCTGTGTAGCCTCTCTAGTTTGGTGGCTTCATGCCTTGAAGTTGGACTTTCTACATGACTTCCTACCTGGCAGTTCAGTGTTCTAAAGCCAGTTTCGAGAGAGAGAGAGAAAGAGAGAGAGAGAGAGAGAGAGAGAGAGAGAGAGAGAGAGAGAGAGAGAGTCTTTTTAGATCTAGCCTTGGAAGTCATACAGTGTTATTTCTGCCTCATTGTATTGGTTAAAGCCATCATAAGTCCTGCTCAAATGTAAGGGAGCATAGACGTCAGCTTTTGATGTGAAAGATATCAAATAATTTGTAAATATATTTTAAGCCACAATCTGATCTTGGTGACTGAGCAAAGAGTTCATTTCAATAATTAATTATAGCATATATAAAAACAATTATTTTTTAAATAATGCAGTTACTTTTTAATATTTCAGAAGCTTTAAATATGCTTTATGCTTCCCTGGACCATGCTTCCTTTGATAATGATCATCTGCCTGCCTTATTTTTTGTTGCGGAATCAGTTTTATATAGACTCTGTTGTGATGCAGTCCTCAAGACATATTTATATTCAGTTGAAATAAAGCTGGCAAAGGTATGTTTTAAATTAAAAAAAAAAACTAAATGTACTATATATAAAACCATATTACATCTGTTTTAGGAACAAAAAAGAACATTTACTTTTTATTATGGAATATTTTCATTTGATAGTTTATTGTAATCATCTTTTAATGTGAATAGTATATATTATTGCTTGATAACCAAATGGAGATGGTTTGGGAAAATATCATTTCACAAACTATGCGAGAAAATATTTAATTGAAAATCAGCATACTTATACTTGCTGCTTTTCTGAATTTGTAGATTTTTTTCTTCTCCCTTTTAATGATTTTTTAAAATTTTCTATCCTCTGGCATTTCATAATGCTGACAAATAATCTTAAATATTAGTCCCATATGAGAAGATGAGTTGTTCTTCCCATCTCCAATGTTATTTTCGACCTATGAAGTGGGAAACTATCTTTACATAGCTTATATTTTATAAAGTCCTGGAGGTTATATGGTTTTACTCCCTGTGATGATCATGGTTGACTGCTACAAAATATATTATTAGTCAAATAAATTTACTTAACTTATGGTTTTACTGCAAGGAAAGAAGATAAAGGCTAGAAGTGTTTCTTTAAGATAATTACAATATGTGTATACGTAATAGCATATATATGAAACATGTTAAATTGATAATGCAAAAATATTTTTTCCTATTCAATTTTGATTGTGAACTTTCAGAAATCAAGCATGGGATAATATTTATGGATCAATCCATCAGTGGAACATTTTGAGGAAATAACTATATTTCAGTCTTTATAAATCAAGCCTAGATGATCTCTGACATGCTTGGGAGTAAAAGACTTATAGAGACAAGGCAAAAGCACATACAGAGAGCACATAATAAAAATTGACCATGCAAAGAACTGAGGCTTTGTATAGAAGAAGGATTGAAGGAAAGAGATACTTTCAATAGCTGTCTTAGGATATCTAGATTATGATGATTTTTTTTCTTTCTTTGTATTTCCCAAACTATCCACTATGAATACAATATATGTATATAAGTTTATGTAAGTAAAAATAAATATAAAATATATAACATAAAAAAATAAGTATATATCTATAATGTAAAACATGACATAGCAAAAAGAAGGGATAGTATGTTGTGTTTCCATTTTCATTTGTGTCAAAATAGCTTTTGATTTTCATTTTAGTTTCTTCATTGACCTAGTGGTTGTTTAGTAGCATACTTTTTAATTTCCATGTATTTGTATAATTTCTAAATTTTCTCTTGGTATTGATGTCTAGATTTATTCAGTTGTGGTGTGAGAAGATACTTAATATGATTTTGATAGTCAAATTTGTTGAGACTTGTTTTCTGACCTAATACATGGTCTATCTTTGACGATATTATTCTAAGTGCTGATGAGAAATGTGTGTATTTTGTGGTTATTGTGTGAAACGTTCTGCAAATGCTTCTTAGGTCTATTTGGTCTACAGTCCAGTTTAAATCCAATGTTTCTTTGTTGATTTTTTGTCTAAATAATCTGTCTAGTATTGAGAAGAAGGTGTTGGAGTTTCTCACTATTGTTGTATTGGACTTTCTTTTCATCTAGTAATATTTGTTTAATGAATCTGGGTACTCCAGTGTTGGGTGCATATATTTTTAATTGTTGCATCCTCTTGCTGAGTTGATTCCTTTGTAATTATACAAGGGGTGCCAAAAAATAGATACACATTTTAAGTATGACATTTGCTCAAAAGATGGCATTAATCAAATGAATGTTAGGGTCACCATGCGACAGGCAGGACAGTCAAAGAAAATGGTGGAAGCATGGTTGAGCCAATGTCATACTACACATTGTTACTGTAATTCAACTTAAAAAATAATATATAGATAACATCTCTTAAAATCTGTATACATTTTTTTGGCACCCTTGAATCATGACCTTCTTTGTCTTTTTATTCCTTTTCTTAGTGTTTTTGACTTAAAGTCTGTTTAAATTGATATAAGTACTGCTATTCCTGCTTGCTTTTGGCTTCAATTTACATGGAATATCCTTTTCTATCCTTTACTTTCAGTCTATATGTGTCTTCATAGGTAACGTGTTTTTGTAGGCAGCATATAGTTGGATCATTTTTTAAGATCTATTCAGCCAGTCTATATCTTTTAAATGAAGAATTTAATCTATTTGCATTCAAGGTTAATATTGGCATGTAAAGTTTTATTTCTGTCATATTATTAATAGTTTTCGATTGTTTGTATATTCTTTGATCCTTTCTTTTTATTGTATTGTTTGTCCTTATGGATTGCTGGTTTTCTGTGATGGTTCCATTTGAGTCTTTTCTTTTTGTCATTTGTGTGTTTGCTTTATCTGTGAATTATATACTTTTGTATATTTTTATGATGGTGACTATTGTCTTTTCACTTTCAGGTATAGCACTCTCTTGAACACTTCTCGTAAGTGGTGGTGATGAATTTCCTCAGCATTTGTTTATCTAGAAATACTTTGTTTTTATTTCATTTATAAAGGATAATTTTGCTGAATATAGTACCCTTGGGTGGCATTATTTTCCTTTTCCATCACTTTGAATATATCATCCCATTTTCTCAACTTTTAGTCTGATGAGGGCTCCTTTATAGGTGACTAGATACTTTTCTCTTGCTGTGTTTTCTTTTTTTCTTCTAAAATTCTTTTTGTCTTTGACTTTAAATCGTTTGATTATAGTGTGCCATGGAGAAGCTTTTTTTTTTAATCTGAAAATCACTGAGCCTCCTGTGTCTAGATTTCTAAATTTCTTGCTAGACTTGGGAAGTTTTCATATATTATTTTGTTAACTATAATTATATATATAGACTTGTCTTCAAGTTCTCAAATTTTTTCTTCTGCTTGTTCGAGTCCATTTTTTAAAATATAGAGTGTATTTTGTATTTCATTCAAAGGACTCATTCCAGAATTTGTGCTTGTTTCTTTCTCATGTTATTTATCCTTTTGATATGTTTTTAATTCATACATTTGTTTTTTGATTTTTTTTTGTATTGACTTTGGGATTTTCTTATATCTCCACTTTAGTATCATAATTTTTCTTTTTTTCCTGAAATTTCATGAATTTCTTTTTGGTTGAGTAATGCTGTTGGTGAATTATTGTGTACCTTTTAAAGTGTCATATTGCCTTACTTTTTCATTTTTCCTTACGTTGATATCTGCACATCTGGTGTGATAGCCACTTCTTTCAATTTTTTGGATTTGATTTCATAGAGATGGATTCCCCCCCACATACACACACGAGGATATACCAGTGGTTTTGGTTGGGTAAGGTCCTTTGGCTTTGATTCATTCAGTAGTGTAATCTCTGTATGATTTCTTTGGCTATAAATAGTTCCAATGGTATTTGTGATTTCTTTGGTAGCTTAGGGTGTGGTTATTAGTGGAAGCTATGATGAGGTTTTGCTGGGGACAGAGATGTTGGGTTGATTAGTCTTTGGGCCCCAGTAGTGGCAGCAGTGAGCTGAGAATGCCTGTTCTTGGGCTCCAGGGTAGCATATGTTTAACCAGTATAATTGGGGCTAAGTAGGCCATTTCTTGAGCCTCCAGGTGGTTTGCTCAGATCCTGGTGGAGGCAGCAGTGGGCCAGGCAGGTAAGTTGATTCTCAGGTCCCTGAGGAACTGGGTGTGATATGGGCAATGGCAGTAGCAATGGCAGTAGTAATGGCCAGACAACCCTCTGGATTCCAAATGGTGTGTGCTGATTGTTGTGGTGGCTGCAATGTAGGGTCACCACCCACAGCCCCAGTCATGCAACTCTTACATTTGTCTATTCTCAATGGCAGCAGCACTGTAGCACCTTGCAGCAGAGGTGAAGGACCCTGCTCTTTACATGTGAGCTCAAGCAATGAAAGTCATGCCATCAATGAGAATGCAGTCACCAATCATAGCCCCGGACAAGCAGCCCTCCTGCTCATCCACCACAGCCTCTGGCAGCAGCAACAGTGGCTGTGGATATAATGGTGTGCAGAGGGAAGAGGGAATCTCCCTCTCTACATGTGAGCATGAGCAGGGGCCACTCAGCTGGTGGGGGTAATGTCACTGCCCCCAGTCCCAGACAGTCAGCTGTCAGGTTCATCTGGTTGGGTTCCTGGTGAGGGCAACTGCTGTGGCAGTATGTATGTGTTTGGGGGTGATAATGGAAGAGAGATGAATGAGATTTCACTCTCTACTTACAAGCCTAAGCACAGAATTTGTGCCGCTGCTTGGGGGACAGGGTCTCTTCTCATAGCCCCAAACAAGAAGCTCTTGGGTTTTAGAAAGCATGTATTAGGTTTCCTTTTTTCCTTTGTCCCAGGGTTTTTCTTTGTAATGTTCTGTACCATTCTTTTTCTGAAAAGTAGTACTCCCTGTGACCTATTGTACTGGGGGCACTGTAGCACCTTTGGGTCCAGCTAGTGCTGTGCCACTGTAGCCCACTGGGTGGACACTAGGGAATATCAGTGGGAGATCCTGGGATGTGAAGATATGAGGGCTGTGGTTCTCAGGGGAGGATGGAGTCCGGTGCTGGCTGTGATCTTACAATGGTGCCCTGCTGCAGCCGCTTGGATCTCAGCAGTGCGAATGAACCAGCACAACTTCCCTGTCCCATGCCCTGGTGGAGGCTCTAGATCACTGGTCATGCTAATGTCAGAGTTTGAGTGCATAGAGAAGCTTTTCCATCCTTAAGATTGCGATAGTCCTTGGTAGGGATGTAGACCACTGAAGTTCTCTCACTTACCCTTTCTCCACAATAGCAAACTCCTCTGGATTCTAGAAGAGTCAATCTCACCTCCCTGCTGTGCCTCAAGTGTTGCCCATGACTTCTCTCTTGGACTTTAGTGTTCTTTCCTAGATATTCTATTTAAGGTGTGATTACTAATTTGTAATTTTGGTTCTTTTCTCTGGAAAGAGTGACTGTCCATTGTCTCTCTAGTCAGCCATCTTCAACTTCAGTCTTCAGATTTACTGAGTTTAGAGCTTACTCTTTATTGCTCTAGTTAATATAAACTAGTTGGTGAAAATAAGCATGCCCTGTATCCATAAGCACTTTTATTCCAGGCAAGAAACCAGATTGTCTTCCTTGCCTTTGTAGAGTTTTTGTTATGTATCTTTAAGCCCATTTGAAATCTCCCTTTTGCTCTCTTGTTTGACAGAATGCTTTATTGAAGGGTGTTATCACAGAAACATCTCCTACCTCCACATGCATTGTTTTGTTCTTCCTTTGAAGTAGCTCAGGGTTGTATAAAGCCAGAAATATGTGATCCCCTTATATTATTTCCTTTCAGATTTGGGGGACTTTTTTGGCATGCATTTATTCTTTCTGTATAGGATCTTCTTAAGTATTAAAGTCTCCTTGCATAAGTGTAGAGAATAACATATAGATAGGCAACATCACTTTTGTATATGTTAGATAGAAACAGAAACAGTGCTCTTCAAGATTCTACAGAAGAACATGAAACATATAACTATTAAAAAATAACACATTATAAATAGTACCCGGCATTTTAATTTCACAGTCAGCTAAAAGTGTCAAATACATACATATATACATACATACATAGGAGGGATGGAAATAGAAGGAGAGACCTTAAAGGTAAAAGGAAGGAAAGATGAGAGAGCTGAGACAGACACATTAACAAGCAGAAATTCAGTGTAGAAAGCAAAGCTTGAATTGTCAAGCCACAGAAAGAATATGTGCACAAATGAAACATAAAAAATGGTACTTAGAAAGTCCCATATGTGATATGGAAAAGTAGATTTTTCAATAAAAATCTGATCTTCTGAATACTACACATGAAAGCTTTTAAAACCATCTTTCAAGTATAGCTATAACTAGGGATAGTCTAGCTATAGAGGATAAATTGGGTTATAAATACAGAAGTTATTTATACTGACATGCTTTTTATGTATTTTCTGTTTTGTCGCATATTAAATTTTTGAATAATAATTATATTGCTTTCTATATCTATCTCTACTCCTTGAAAAATCCTAAATTATTTTCCTTCTGATTAGCTAATCATTTATTGTCTGCATCTATGGGAGTTGTTGCCTTTAATATTCTCATCTAGAATATTTCAAAATTCTTTAAAATGATCTGTTGATCTCTACTTCCTTCACATTTAACTTCAATCACTTAGAGAAATACAGTATAGTAGCAGAGTAGTCTATATGAAGAGACCTTCTGGGCATGCCTTATATATAAACATTTTATTTTTACTTTGTAAGTCTACAAATGGTACACATTAATAACATGAATACATTTACAAATATTGATGATACAATCTCAAAATTTATTTTTAATGATAGAGGTTTATCATTATCAAAAATTTTTGGAGCCGGGCTCGGTGGCTCAGCCTATAATCCCGTGCCTTTGGGAGGCTGAGGTGAGTGGATTGCCTGAGCCCACAGGTTCGAGACCTGCCTGGGCAGGCGAGATCTCATCTCTACAATAAATCAAAAAAATTAGCTGGGTGTGGTAGCGTGCGCCTGTAGTTCCAGCTACTTAGAAGGCTGAGGCGGAAGGATCACCAGAGCCCAGCAGGTCAAGACTGCAGTGGCCGGGAGCGGCCACTGCACTCCAGTCTGGGCGACAGTGAGACTCCAACTCAAATATATATATTTGGAGATCACTGCTATAGTAGAAAGTTCATGGCTTTTGGAATAACACATACAGCTCTCTGGGTTCAAATTCTGACAGTGCTACTTATTGACTTAATAGTCTTGGATGAAGCACTGACACTTAGGTTTATCTTTTAATTTAATTTTGTTTTTATATTTATATCTAAAATATCCTGTATGCTGTTAAAAAGATTTGGAGATACATACAAGCACACATATACATACACATGCATACATGCTTAATTGTGACAACTATTCTTATTATTTGGTTTTTCTTCGTGATTTACTTAGGCAACTTGTATTTTATGTATTTCTATACTTTATGTGTTTTTTTCTAATATTCTGTAAAATTTTTTAGATCATATATTTTTGTAGACATTGCATTTTATGTAGTCTATATAAAACAAATTCTATTTTATTAATCCTATAGAAGTAAGATTTTTGCAACTCATATTTAGTAATGACATTGTGAGGGATCTTTAATCATGAGGGAATAGGAGCTTAGTATAGTATACTATGCAAAAACAGAATAGTTCTCAACACTGTCTAAGGTACTGGTTTTCAAACTGTGTTGACTGAGATACATCGGAAAAAACATCCTTTACCTTGCAATCCAGCAAACACATAATATGTAATCATTTGTATACAATAAAGTGTAATGTTTTTTCTTCTCTTTTGTTTTATTTGATAATCTTCTTTCAATTGATTTCATGACTCACTTAAGGGGCATGACTTGCAATTTGAAAAAGACTGTTCTAAAGGACATAGAACAAAATAGCTTTCTGTACTGGTCATTTTATGTAATACAGAGATGATTTATAAAAGTTTTTTTGGCTGAACTAGCATTTCAATCTTGATATAAATGTTTCAAAGTTATTTCAAAAACACATAATATCAAGTGAGTTTGAAATTGTTTTATCAAAAGGAAATGTAATCATAAAGTGGCTTATTTTTCTTCTGGTTTTTAAACATTTATTGATGCAACACAAAAATGCTTTTCTCTCTTCTCTTGACAGATCGCCTATTTGGTCTTCTTACGACTTTTTATATTTTTCCTGCATGGTCATCTAGAAAATTTTAAACAACATTTACTTAGGCTTCAACCATATTTATACGGTAGAATATCTTTTATTTTTTACACTTATAAATGTTTAATGTTATATTCTGATAACTCAGATTATCACTGTAAAGACTGTAAGCTTCATTTTATTTTTCATGAAAGATAATAGGTACAGTGTTGAAGAACATAGCGTCTGGGTTAAACTGTATTTGCTCAGCTGCTCCCCACCCCATTTCTTTGTAGTTGGAACATTTTAAATTTTATTTTACTCTTTCAGCAAATTTGAAACATATAACATATTATTATTAATAGTCACCATGCTGTGCAATAGATCACTAGACATTATTCTGTGTGTCTGACTGAAATTGCTCCTCAATCTCTCCTTTTCCCACCCACCACAACCTCACTCCCGGCTCCAGTCTCTGGTAACCCCCATTCTGCATTCAGCTTTTTACTTCCCCTCTTAAGTGTATGAGCTTGTTTGTGATTCAGTTTCTTTATCTGTAACATTAACTAACTCACTGGATTTCTATTTTTTTTTTTGGAGCTGGAGTCTCACTCTGTCGCCCAGGCTGGAGGGCAGTGGCATGCTCCCGGCCACTGCAGCCTCGACCTGTTGGCTCCAGCGATCCTTCCGCCTCAGCCTTCCGAGTAGCTGCAACTACAGGCGTGTGGTACCACGCCCGGCTAATTTTTTTATTTATTGTAGAGATGAGGTCTCACCAAGTTGCCCAGGTGGGTCTCGATCCCGCGGGCTCAGGCAATTCACTCACCTCAGCCTTCCAAAGGCGCGGGATTACAGGCTGAGCCACTGAGCCTGCACTGGATTTCAAGATAGTTAAATTGATGTTTCAGTAAGGTACTGAACGTGGTGATTAATTGAGTTTCAACTTTATATATATATATATAAAGGAGAGTGGGGAATGCAAGAGGAAGCTGACATTTTGCATATTGAGACCGAGGGTCAAGATAATAAGGCTTTGCACGGGGAGAATTTTGGGGAAATATTGGGCGTACTGAATTTGAAGGCCACTAGGATATATATACCCAGCAAACAGTTGAAAACATAGATCTGGAACTCAGGAAATAAGTGAAGCCTGCTTTGGGGTACAGATTTGACATTCATGTTAATGCTGCCTAGGGTGAGGGGTGGTGTGGGGAGAAACTCATTCTTGGAATAGAATCTTGGGGAACATAAAAGCTTAATGGACTATTGGTGCAACAAACCCTGTAAAAGAGAATTAAGAGAAGTAAGAGGGAGTGATGGCATTTAAGGAGGGAGGTTTAAGAAGATCAACATTATTAAGAACCATAGAAATATTAAATAGTTAGAGACCTGAAAAATGATGTTAGGCTTCTGCAATCAGAAGGTCATTGTTGATCTTGGGAGCATCCCCACTGGAGAAGTGGAAACAAAACTCAGACTGGAGGTAAAGAGTGAGGGGAAACTAAGCATAAGACAAAGATTGTGAACTATTTTTAAAAAGCTTAGCTATAAATATTTATCTGACACAGACACATAAATTATATATATGTGTGCCAATATTTTGGATGAAAAAACAAAGTCCAAAGAGGAGAAGATTTGTATGTTTTATGTTATAAGGAAAGAAAAGGCTCAAGATAAAGGAGTGAAAATAATAGTTGATGGAAAAAGGCACAGAGGAGAGAACAGAAGGTAATAGCAGAAGTATTTTGGAGACGGATCAATATGTGCCACTAGTGTAAGTCTGGATAGGTTGTGGCTGATAGAATAGCAAACTTGTCTACCATATAATTTATTTTGATTTTTCATTAAATTATAAATCCTCTTCTTAGCTTCTCACAGTGTTCAGCATCATAACTTATCAAATATTCAGATGATGGTGGCAAACAAAGTTTGGGAAATTATTTGATTAAAACCTCAAGTTCTTATATTAGCTTGTTATTGAGGATCTGTCCCTACAAAACTAACTTATTTCTTTCATATATAAGATTTTTCCCTCTCACCAAATATCGGTAAGTAGGGTTTTATGTTACATCTCTATCTTCAGAAATGGGTGGTTCTCTACCTGAGAGTATTAGGAGCTGCTACCTATCCACTAGTTGTCCAGTAGAATTGTCATTGCTATTTTTTCCACTGTGTAGTTGGACTGGAACCCAAAGATTGTCTAAAAGTTTATAGAAAGAACAGCACTAAGATGATTCTGCTAAATGTTAAATGACAAAATTGTTGCCTATATTAAAATATGTACTTTAAAAAGTCAATAATAACAACCTCTTGAAAAAGAATAAAACAGGAGAATGTTGGGTTGGAATCAATAACATTAATTTGTAGGATTACAATTTCAAAGTATCTATTATAAATGGAGTATCTATTATAACTTGATTTATTTTCAGCTGGAATCTTCCAAGCATTGTTGAGCAGTAACTATATTTAATTGGGCATTCAACCAGTATGCAATTGCTGCTCTGAATTATATGCATTCTCATGTATAAATTATTTACTTGTAGTTTTCAATTGTACCACCAGGGGGCACACATAATATTATAAATGGAATAGATTGGGACTTGTACTGCAGTCTCATCATCTAAATACTGAATTTAATTATTGTTTAATAACTTAAAGATGAATGAAACACAATAAAAATATTAATGAGAGCTCACAAATTATTTTTCTTACAATAGCACTTTCTTCCTCTGGAGAATCATATCAAAAGTATCCAAATATCTTTTCAAATGTGCAATTCATTCTGGAAACCTCGGAAATTATATGTAAAAGAGAACTTCCTTCTGGATCAGCTTTTAGCCCTGTTGAAAATAAAAAAAGATGTGAGAACGTAGATTCTGATATGGTGGGTAATCTGATATGATGGTTATATGTAGTTGCACGATCCACCTGATTACATTACTGTGATTAAATAATTGTGCTTGTCAATTTAGTAAGCATTGCTGAAGATGAGTTTAGCTGAGGGGGAAAGGTGAACAGCAAAGATACTAATTTCATGCAACCATATGCACGTTTCCTGGACAGCAGTTAACAGGATTAGTAGGGAACATCAATATGCACCACTACTGCTTCAAACGGAGCAATGTCATACCTTCTTCCTCACAGATTCCATCTCAGTTATTTAATTAAAAATTACAGCATAATTGAGACTGACATATAAATGAACATTTTAAGATACACTTGTATCTTCAAGTACAGGTTATTCATGAAAGCAGGTACAGTACAGGTTATTCATGAAAGCAAGTGTAGTATTTTTATGTTTTCATCATTCACATGAAATTGTTAATATGCTATTAAAATCAACTTTAAAAATTTTTAAATAGTTTAAATGGAAAATTAAGATAATCCTTAGAATATTAAAAAACCTCTTAATTTCTAACTCAGATCTTAGTAATTAACTTTAGAAAAAACAGTCTGCCCTAATTATATAATTCCTTGGTATGTAATAAACTAAATTATGCAAATACAAGTACAGTGAGCCATATTATTGTGCATACACTTCATAGACTGATGTACCTCAAAAGCAAACTTCAATCTCTGGTGCTAATAATGTCTTTATTTTCTCTCCTCACATATTTTCCAAAAGAGAGCAGTGAGCATTTACAAACAGGATTCTTTTAAAAATATTAACACACTTATTTTATAGTTTATAAATAGAAAATTTATTCTAAAAGAGGAAATAATACTTTTAACATAACACAAATTTGAAGCACCTGAGAAAACTTAAGGAAGATTCTCTTTTTAAATAGCATTATTTGTGTGTCACCTCACAGTTTTCCTGTGGCTTCCCTTGAGCTGTTTCTAAAGTTAGCTATCAATTAAATACATAAGAAATAACGTTTAACCACTTCTATTTATGATCTTTCTAGGCCCAGGCATTTTCTCTTTGGCTCATTACTGGTGAAACATTTATATAAAAAATGGTATTTGCTAAGTAAATTGAGCCTTTTGGTTATAATTGCTAATGAACACAAGTGGCCTCATGCAAAAAAAAAAAAAAAAAGGGATTTGTTTTTAAGTTTAAATATTTTATCAGGAACATACAATGGAAAATATTGAGCCACTGAAAGGGCATTGATCATAAAGAGAACAGACCTGCTCATGCACTGGCTCTGTGATCTAGAGGAGGACCGTTGAGCTCTCCAAATCTCCATTTGCCTAGTTTTATTTTTATTTATTTATTTTTTTGAGTTGGAGTCTCACTCTTTCGCCCAGACTGGAGTGCAGTGGCCATTCCCGGCCACCGCAGCCTCGACCTGCTGGGCTCCAGCGATCCTTCCGCCTCAGCCTTCCAAGTAGCTGGAAGTACAGGTGCGCGCTACCACACCCGGCTAATTTTTTGATTTATTGTAGAGATGAGGTCTCACCAAGTTGCCCAGGCGGGTCTCGAATCCTGGGCTCAGGCAATCCACTCACCTCAGCCTCTCAAAGGCGCGGGATTACAGGCTGAGCCACCAATCCCGGCTTTGCCTAGTTTTAAAAAGTCATCATTACCGTCGTCATCTCATCACCATCACCATCACCATCACCATTGTCATCCTATTTGCTCAAACTCTTCTGCGGGATTGTTGTGAAGACTGCAAACAAAACAAAAACACGTGGTTTGTACATTATTAAATGCCATGCAGGTGTAAACAATAGTTATTGAAAAATATACTTATGAGTTCACTTTAACCTAGGAAGTTAACTATCATAATATTCATCTAAGGACATAATTAGGTTGACTGAATGTAGTGAGTGGAGTTTTTTTCTTCCGAACAAATGAGATTCCATGAACTTTTGGTGACATGAATGTTCTGGTTATGAGGCAGATACTGTCAATGTTGATTCTGATGCTCTTTGAGAACGAATCAGTTTTGTCACTCTTGGTACACACATACAGTAAGCAAACAGAAGCTTACTGCTGTTCAGCTCAGCCTGAATTCGATGGAACAAAAATGTCAACACATGAAAAGAACATATCAGCTTAGAGTGGGACAAGTCACTAAGTCTCGCTGTACCTTTTTCCACTTTGTAGAACAAAGCTTAGATTCAATCTCTTCTAAATTCTATTTCAGCTATCCATGTGATCCTATAAGGGGATTATAACAGAGTTTGGCCTATCAGGTTTATTGCCCTTCTTTTTCTCCTGTTATCCCAAAATATAAAGACTATAAATATAGGATAAGGTAGCCACAGTGCTGCTAAAATGGTTGATTCAGCTAATCAGCACTGATTCAATACTTGATAGCATGTCCTAAAGTTCCCCAGTTTCAGCCCAGTTTTTCCAGTACAGCTTCACATAAGCCAGCCTCTCCAGTTCAGTTGATTGTTTACTCATTCAATACCAACTCTCTCACCTTCTGGGAAAGAAAGGAAAAAAGAGATAATGGGAACATGAAAGATCCGTTTATATTCATCTTTTCTCCCTTCCTTACTATTGGCATACTACAAGAGAGGATTTGCTCTTATCCTCTGATAATTTTCAAAGGTCCATGGCAGCATAGACCACTGTAAAATATTTAATTTTTAAAATTCTGATATGCAAGTATCCAAGCATACTTGCTTAATTTGTTGTCAAAGTGCTGCTAAAACTGCATTAAAAATTCTGTAGGATATTATAACACATTAGAATACATACAGTATGGGTGTTGGTTCCAATTAAGGATAGGACATTTCCTTTTCTGATGCTAGACCCCATTTCTCTTTTTAATGTCCTTTTCAGTGATCCAGACACAGGGTTTCCATTGACTTTGACAAATAGTACACTTTAATTAGCTCTCGGGATTGCAGAGTAAGAAAGCTGGATAGAGTTTTCACTCTTTCTCTTGCTCACTAGCAAAGCAGTATTTTCTAAGCACAATTGTCTCATGGTAATAGCAACATGGTTCTTTGGAGAAGATAGATTTAAACTCTGTTAAAATACAATAGACCCTTTACTAAACAGTTTCATCTGTACTAAAGTACAAATTGTTCTCTGAAAACTAGCAAATACAGAATTTACATTCTAATGTGATCAGCAGTCTCATCCTCTAACACTTTAAGTACTTGGTAAGCCAAAGACATTATCTAAATTTGGGACATTTTGTGCTGGATTGTAATTGTAAATGGTTACTAGGAATTACTAAACTGAGACGCAGATTCTTTAAAATTAGAAGCATTATCCTATGATTTATGTCCTTAATGAGAGGCCCTTTGATGGCAATGCCAACCATCCTCAAAATGACTGAAAACAAGAATGAAACCCAGAAAGCTGTCCCTGAACATCCAAAATAGAGTTTTTATACTTAAGTTTGCATAAAATTCAAACTCGTGTGGCTATCTGAATTCTTAGTCAACAGTAGATTAACAACACTTTTGTGTAGGTAGGCTTTTCAAAGTAAGCATTGTTCAAGCTGCAACTGACAGCCTAGAGCTGGACAGCAAGAGAGGAAAACGAAAGAACAATGGGAAATGGTTAGAAAACCACTCCAGAAAAGAAGGGAAGGAGAAAGGAGAGAAAGAAGGAAGGAAGGGAGGTGGAAAACTTTATCTGGGAGTGATTTAACACAATTCTCAGTGCTTTTCAAGCTATCTGTGGTAAATGATTCCTCCTGGCTGCTTTAAAATTTCCAAACCAAATTTTCTTATAATTTAGTAAACTATAATAATAAATCACTGAAAAAAACAAACAGAAAAGGCATAAAAACACAAGTCTTAATTTTTAAATAAGCTAAATATCTATAATTGTGCTGTCAAATTGCCATGAAATTTCTCAAATATGTATTCTTAATTTCTGTGCTCTGGTTAATAGTTTGAATGCGGTACTTACCTACCACCACACCTTGAGCAGGACTGATTTAGTGTAAAAGCCACAGAACTCTACAACACCTAATGACTCTCAAACCATTGCTCCCTCTTGGTCCACTACACTGATGATGTACATGAAGATTGTATTCAATAATGTAGTCATCCTCATGTTAATTAATCCAAGTTTGATATGTTTTTTAGGGGGAAGGGGAGAGCAAGAAACACACCTTTGCAAGATTTTCATGAAAGTGCTTGAAATACATAAAATGCATGAGGATAAATAATAAGCCACAATTATTAGGGGCAGGTTGTTTTACTTTTGGTGATGCCAGCACCCTTCAGCCAAAAGCTGCAATTAGGCAAATTGGTTTTACTAGTTGTTGGGAGGGGGCGAGAGAAAGAGAGAGAGTATATGAATGAGAATACACACCACAAGGAGCTATCGAATGTCTTGACAAGAGGGTGTTAGAATGAATCTACTATAGGATGAGGTTGTGAGGAAGCAGGGGTTCTCCCCAGATATGATGCTGCCACAAAGTAGCGGCAATTCTATTGTGAGTGGCACTGTGCTGTGTTTGTGTCTGTGCTTATACAAAATTGTCAGTTGCCTTTGTTTATTTATTGTGGCCTCAGAGTAATATTGTCTGAAGTTGCTGCTTTGTGAGTTGATGTTCAACAGGAGATCAAAATGACCTGGCTGTGAGTTTCAGGTCAGCTTGTAATAATATGATGTCAAATCAGTCCCAGACATCGGAGGCTGCTTTTTTCCTTTTTTCCATGATGAGTAAAAATGACATCATATAAAATTAGAAATAAAACTTAAATCTTGTTTATTGTCTAAATCGTGATTTTTTTCTAATTACATACATTCAAGAATTTTCTCTGTTGATTGTACGTAAGTGTGTTAATGCAAGAGTTTTTGACTTAACTGAAAAGTTTATATAGCCATGCAGTATCTATAATTAAAGTGCAAAAATGTGGTGTTATAAATTAACTGTCATCTCAAATTTTAAAAATATGTTTACTTATCTATTTATTCAGAATGGGTTTGCAACCTGAGGGTTGCCAAGCATCCAGGCTGAGATACCTAGAGCAATTTGAGAACAGAATTTCACTTATATGGGTTCCACTTTTTGAGTAGACTCTATCTCAAAGCAGAAAATTGAGTTCTGTGTGCATTTACTGAAGTCGGCATGTCTCAGTCTGATGCCGTACATGATTTTAGAACAGAGCTTTTTTTATGGTGTCTTCTAACATTCTAAACACTGATTTGCTTCCACTTGCTATTCTGAATTATTGTCCCCCAGAGTCAGTAGCCTTGTGCAAATTTTGTCTTTCCTCATGCCAGCATCTAACAGAGTTCCTGAAATAAAGTAGATCCATACACATCTGTGGGATTTAACTAAGTAGTTTGCTAGAAATTTAAAATGTCTCAGTTTAAAATTTATATAGAAACTTCTGGCCTTAAGTATTTATGAGTATGCAACATGAAAATTATCTTTAATTTGCAGTCTTGATGTTGTTTTATATAATAAGCAATAATTATGATACACTTTGGATTCTAAATGTTTCTTTTTAATATAAAAGCACAAAATATCAACTAAGTTAATAATTTGAATACATGCCACAGGATGTATATTTGGATCTTTACTGTTGGCAACAATTCAGACTGCTATGTCATAGCTGTCTACTAATTACTTGAGTAGACCAATTAAATATATAAAACTGTCAGGCAGCACTCAGAAAAATAAAGACACAACAGTCCATTTGTTATTTGAATTTGTAGGCTTTTAAAATAGTTACTTAGCAGACATTGACAATGTCCTGCTAGGCATATATTTTGATCCTTAAAATAGCAATCCACATTTTAAAACGTAATTTGCTGTTAGATCTTTGTTCAAGCTTTCCCCATCCCTTCTTCCTCAGGTGTTAGAGAGAACTAAGTCACATCTAAGCACAATTGTGCCTGATCACGATCTCTTCTGGGATGCAGGATTTTTTTTTTTTTTTTTGTCATACCATAGAACTGATATTACTGAACACAAGGGACTTATGTGAAAAATGCATACATTAGGTTCAGGTTAACACTATATACTTACAGAAATATACTTATGTAAATTGCTCCACTTGGTAACACATAAAGTATAAGAGAATATGCATTTTCATTTGTATGTTTAAAATTTATTTTCATGTTTGTTCAAGTCAAAGAACTCTTTCTCAGATATATTTTAATCCGAGAAACATTTGCAATTTAATCAGGGAGGATACGAAGTGAACCACCTGCTCTGGCATTGTGTTGCTGCCTGGTCTTGTGTTCAGAATAATAGTCCTCGGCTGAATAACGTGCTTGAACATCTTATCTTCCATAAAACACAGCTTCAAAAGAAATGCTGGTAAGGATGAGCCTATAAATCCAAAGTAACTCATGAAGAAACCTTTGTGCTTAAGTGTTAAATAACCTTTGTACTTAAATGTTAATCACACCTCAGTTGACGATGAAAAAAATTTATAATCTCAGTTCCAAAGGCAAGGGCAATTTACATATTTTGTATTAGTTCCTCTCATCAATATATTGTTCCTATTCCTATTTTTTGTTGTTTTGTTTTGCTAGAGGTACATGTATGCACTCCGTAGTTTGTTTTTGTTAAAATGCAGTTTGTTATTGATTAGAAGTTTATTCTTACATTGAAAACATCCTTTATTTTCCAAATTGCTAAGCAAAAACAGTGAAGTACAATTCATTATTCTTGAAAAAAAATACTAAGATTCTACTTCTTTATGCCTTACTTGTAACGTGTAACAAAGATGAATCTTGACTGATAAATGCTAGTTTCCTCCTGTACATATGGCCATTTATGAAAGGAAAAAAAGATTCATAGTTTAGGTATGAGTTCAATGGAGGAAAGATTTTTTTAAAATTGAAAAATAGTAAGCATATACAGATATGGAGTACAACATGATGTTATGGTATATGTCAGCCTTGTGGAATGACTGAATCAAGCGAATTGATATGCCCATCACCTCACGTACTTGTCATTTCTAGGTAGTCAGAACAGTTAGAATTTGCTCTATTAGAATTTTGAAATACATAATTCATTACTATAATCATCATGCTGTTCGGTAGATCACTAGACATTCCTCCTGTCGGACTGAAAATTTGTTCCCATTGACTAACATCTTCCTTTACCCAGACCCCTCACCCTCTATCCCAAGCCTCACACCATCCTACTCTCTAACTCGATGAGTCTTACTTTTTCAGATACCACATATGAGTGAGATTATGCAGTATTTGTCTTTCTATACTGAACTTATTTCATTTAGTACAATGTCCTCCAGGTTTATTCATGTTGTTGTAAATGACAGAATTTTTTACTTTTTAAAGGCTGTTTAGTATTTAATTATGTATGTATATCACATTTTCTTTATCCATTTATCCATCAATGGACACTTAAGTTGATGCCATATCTTGGCCATTGTGAATAATGTTGCAGTGAATATGGGAGTTCAGTTACTTCATGCACATACTGATTTCATTTTTTATATATATACCCAGAAATAGGATTGCTGTATCATATGCTAGTTCTGTTTTTAATTTTTTTGAGGATACTCCATCATGCTTTCCAAAATGGTTATACTAATTTACGTTCATACACACAATATACAAAGGGGTTTTTTCCTCCACATCCTCACCCACCCTTGTTATCTTTCATCTTTTTGAAAATAATCATTCTAACAGATGTGAGATGCTACCTCATTGTGGCTTTAATTTGCATTTCCCTTATGATTAGTGATACTGAACACTTTTAAATATATCTGTTGGCTATTTGTATGTTTTCTTTTTAAAAAAAATGTTCAAGTCCCTTGCCCATTTTTAATTGGTTATTTGTTTTCTTGTTATTGATTTCTTTGTTTCTTATGTATTTTAAATATTACCCCTTATCAGATGTACAGTTTTTTTTGTTGTTGTTGTTGTTGTTTTGAGTTGGAGTCTCACTCTGGCGCCCAGACTGGAGTGCAGTGGCCGCTCCCGGCCACCGCAGCCTTGACCTGCTGGGCTTAGGCGATCCTTCCGCCTCAGCCTTCCAAGTAGCTGGAACTACAGGCGTGTGCTACCATGCCTGGCTAATTTTTTGATTTCTATTGTAGAGATGAGGTCTCGCCAAGTTGCCTAGGCGGGTCTCAAACCCGCAGGCTCAGGCAATCCACTCACCTCAGCCTCCCAAAGGCGCAGGATTACAGGCTGAGCCACTGAGCCCGGCTAGATGTATGGTTTTTAAATATTTTCTCTGAATGCATGGGTTGTCTCTTTACACTGTTAATGTTTTATTTGCTATGCAGAAGCATTTCAGTTTGATACAGTCCCGTTTGTCCATTTTTGCTTTTGTTGCCTGTGCTTTTAGGTTCATATGCAAGAAATCATTGCCCAGACCAATTCTGGGAAGCTTTCCCCTATGTTTTCATCTAGTGGTTTTACACTTTTAGGTTGTACAGTTAAGTCTTTAATCCATTTTTAGTCAATTTTTGTATATGGTATGAGATAAGAGTCTAATTTAATTCTTTTGCATTGGGTATCCAGTTCTCCAAATCCCATTTATTGAAAAAAATTATTCTTTCTCTATTGTGTATTCTTGGCACCTTTGTCAACAATCAGTTGATCATAAATTAATGGATTTATTTCTGGTCTGTTTTCTGTTTCAATGGTCAATATATCTGGTTTTATGTCAAGACCATGCTGTTTTGATTACTATGCCTTTGTAATATGTTTTAAAATCCGAATTGTAATTCCTCAGCTTTTCACTTCTTGCTAAGATTACTTTAGATATTTGGGAAGTTTAATGTTTAAAATGTTTATACACATTTTAGGATTTTCTTTTCTGCTTCTGTGGAGAATAACATTAAAATTTTGGTAGAGATTGCATTGTACCTGTAGATCAGAAATTTACAAATAAGTAGCTCATATTTTTTTTCCTTTTTTGAGTTGGGTTTTTACTCTGTCACTGATGCTGGAGTGCCGTGGCATGATCACTGCTTGCCACAGCCTCAAATTTCTGGGCTCAGGCAATCCTTCTGCCTCAGCCACCTGAGTAGCTGGAACTACATCCATGTGCCACCATGCCTGGCTAATTTTGTTTTTTCTTTTTTGTGGAGATGAAGTCTCACTATGTTACCTTGGCTGACTTAGAACTCCTGGGTTCAAGCAACTCTCATGCCTTGGTGTCCCAAAGCACTGGGATTATAGACATAAGCCACCACGCCTGGCCTTCATCAATATTTTAAATTTTCAGTGTACAGATTTTTCATTTCCTTGACCAAATTTACTTCTAAGTAATTTTTTTATACTATTGCAAATGGGATAAGTTTCTTAATTTCTTTTCCATATAGTCTGTTGTTAGTGTAGAGAAGTGCTATTTATTTTAGTATGTTGATTTTGTTGTCTGCAACTTTACTGAATTCATTTATTCTAACAGTTTTTTGGTAGACTTTTTAGGGTTTTCTATATATAAGATCATTTTGCCAGCAAACAGACAATTTTACTTGGATGCCATTTTTCTTCTTTTTTCTTGCCTAATTTCTCTGGCTAGGATTTTTCAGTACTATGCTAAATAAAAGTGGTAAGAGTGGACATTCTTGTCTTCCTCCTGATCTTAAATAAAAAGCTTTCAACTTTTCTTCATTAAGGAATATGTTATTAGTGGGCTTGCCATATATAATCTTTATTGTGCTGATTAACTTTAACGTGAGGAAATTGATCAGAGGACACTCTTTCCCAATATTTAAGGAGAATCGGAGATTTTAATGTCTATTTCAATAACAATAATCATAATCTGTCATGCCATACCAAGATGAAAATTCAATTGCCATGTGTATATATTGTTTAATTAGTTTCTATTTTTAAGCCTTTGATGGCCCATTCTAAATCAAAAGGCTTTGTATATATAAATTCTAATTCCCTCAGAATCAACTGTAGCCCCTCCTAACACTCTGGAGCATTCCTTATGAACAAAAGCTGTTTTTCCATGGATGTTTGTGGCATTCTGGATGAAGTAAAGATTTGTGAAGGGTGACTTGGAGCTTCCCTAATTTCTTCAAAATAACCTGGTGTAGATTAGGATTCTATCAATAACTTATTTTGTCTCATAGTCTGATGGGAGAAACCTACTCAGTATTGCAGTTTGATGATTGTATCTTTTTTGACATTTAAAAAGTATAAATAGAAAAATAAGGTGCAAATAGAGAATATTTGTTATATAAATAACATGACTTTAATAGAAAGATAAGTAAAATAAGATATTTTAATATCGACTTCTTAAATACAACAGATTCTCATTGGTGCAAATTAGGTTATTCTGGAAGCCATGGCAATTCTTTCAGAGCAGTCTTAATTATAGAATATAAGTTGTAGGGAATGCAAATATATAATTTATTTTTCAAAAGGACAAACAACTAGAATTATTTTAGCTCTTGGAAAACTTTAACTTGATTTAGAAAATAATATTGTATTTTAACATATAAAAATAAATATTGTGAAGCTTTGTCACATTTATTTACAAAGCACTTAAATAATTCCCAAATAAACAAGTTTAAATAGTGGTTGATTAAGAATATCTAATTCTTGGCCAGGCATGTTGGCTCACACCTGTGATCTGCACTTTGGCAGGCTGAAGCGTGAGGATTGCTTGAGCCCAAGAGTTTGAGACTAGCCTAGACAACATAGTAAGACTTCATCTCTGCAAAAAAATTAAAAAATTAGCTGGGTGTGGGGGTGCATGCCTGTAGTCTCAGTTATGTGCCAGAGAATCACTCGAGCAATTCAGTATCAGAGGTGTGAAGGGGATAGAGACTGCAGTGAGCCAAGATCAGGCCATTGCACTACAGCCTGGGTAGCAGAGTGAGACCCTAACTAAAAACCAAACAAAAATCCTGCCTAATTCTGGAAGCTAGTCAAGTCTTCCTTTTTTTAAAGTTTTACTGTACTGCATCAACACCTATTAAATTTGCTAATAATTTGTGTTTAAAGTTGTAAATATTTATGAACCAGGTTTTTTTTTTTTAATATTTCATATTTTATAGACTGGGGGGGGAGGTTTAGAGATAATACAAAAGTATTTTTATTTTAAAAATAAAGAAACCAAGGCCAAGTTTTTTACGCTTGTTGGTGACTGGAACCAGATTTTAAAGATCTCAGTTTAGCAATCTTTCTGATGCATCATTCCACTGTCATTCTGGCTGCATTGTTAAGTGAATGACTACTTTAAGATACCCTGTCACTGAATTTTGACTTTTCTTTTCCTGGGAAAATATTATGGAAATCATCAAGTGAAAGAGGAGATAGTAGTGTTTAGATAGTGCTCAATGAACAGAGGAGTACATTGAAAAAATGGCAAGATACAAA